AGTTTGTCACTTTGCCTTCAAAATATCCGCCAAGCACTGAAAACTCTGTACGCCCCGCAACAGTAAAAGCACATATTCGTCCTTGTGTGTACTTTAGACGCTGAATGGAGGGAAAACTAACCAAGTGGTAAAGATAGAGCAATGCTAAAACACCAAGCAATCAGGATTGCTGCATAGGTGCGAGTTCGATGTTTCGAAGTCCTGTAATCTGTTGGCTTCGCTGCCGCAACAACTCTGCAAATAACTGGTATGCAAAAATCTCAGTTGTGTAAATTACTTCTTTCATCCTACACTTCCAAGCGGACCTAATAAAATTTTATTTTTCAAATATTAAGAGTGATCACACTGACAAAAGTAGAGGAGCGAGCGCTGGCTGTGACGGAGACAGTAGTGGAGCCAAGAATGTCTCCGCCATCATATAAGCAGTCAAACGCTGTGTTAGATGAGGGCTATCGGTGCGACCATATGATAAAGCAAAGTCCAAACTGCAGAGCTTGGTGCTGGACAGTGAAGGCCACTTTTAGTACCAGCGAGAAAGCGAGTGATCACTCGGATGGCTTTTGAAGAGGCGGCGCACAAACTCAAACAAATCCCGGATGCTAATTGGAATTATGCAATTCACGATCGAAGGACCTGGCATAATTCCTTTGAACCTGTGAGCGCGTCCTCGATTAACAACATTAACACCGGATTCAAATAACAACTTGAGGAATTTTGATGATCCTAGTAATTTCATACTAATAATTTGAAACGTAATTAGAAGAGTTTCAGCTACATCCATTTTAATGGCGAAAAAATGGATGAGGCTTACCTGTCGATGCTAATAAGCACCATGTGGATTATCGAGGAAGTCGAAGCAGCTACATCAACTGTACAGTAAAACTGGCACAAGCTAACAGATAAGTGCCAGTGAAAGCCATTTATCTGCAAACACCCTTTAAACTGCTACTTATTTTCACTTGAAGTCAGTGAGATTTAAGGCAAAATTATATTTTTTTTTTCAAGCTCAAAATGTACTT